CAGTGCAGAAAACTCACAGCTCCCTGAACTGCCACACGTCCCTGCACATTCCTAAAAAACCTTTCTGGGTTCCAGTCTCACACTACGCCAGTGCCTAAGGGAAAAGCTAAGTCTTCATGGCTTTTCAAAGGCTAGGAGGGTAAGAGCCTGCCAGATCTCAGGGGGGAGAGTGTCCCAAAGGCATGCCCACTCTATCAGACCTAGTGGAATGGGAACATACTCTTGGGGAGAAGCAGTCCCACAGATACTCATCATCACAATAAATAAAAACAAAATATTTGCAACTAAACAGCATACCTTTTTTTATACTGACGAAGGCCTCATCATGAATTCCCAACTTCCAAAGAATCCAACATACACCATGAATTCCCAACATCCACAGAATGTGTACACTGACTACAAACGCAAACACAAAACCTAAACATGCTCTCTATTTTAAACAGCTTTGGTGAAAAAGTGGCAAAAGGCTAATTCTTCCATATCAAACTGACCTAAAGATATCCCTACACAACAGCACACATTTCTAATCAGGCAGCATTTTCAAAGAAGCAAACCTGTGAAATTAGACACTCATACCCACCACTTTCACAAGCAAGCTGGACTAAACAGTAAGCCAAAAAGATATGAAGCTCAGAGTTAAGTTACAGCTATGATCACTTAGCGTTTAAAAAGTTAGCAGTTACTGTATGCTAAGTTGTATTACTGCCTTCAGGGGACAAGAACAGAGATCTAATTTTTCAGATGAAGATCAACATTACTTTTTAAAGGTGAGCTGTGAAAAATCCTGTTCCTATTTGTAAAAAGGCAAATTAATATTTCTTTCAATACTTCCTTTAAATGAATCTCCATCCCACCTCTTTAAGTTCTGGCACCATGATTCTAAAGAGTTTAACTGAAGAGATCTGGCAGTGTTTTATATTTAACAAAGACATCCTTTGATTCAAGAGGTCATTAGTCAGTGGAGTTAAGTAAGTGCTAAGAAACAAAAAACAAAAGACTTGTTCAGATTTCTTCTCTTGAGATGTCATAATCTATCATGAACAGACAAGGCTTGAATTTCTAGCATGTATATATAAAGCAAAAACCCACTTTTGACAACAATAAAGAAGCCAAACAAACAAAACTATTTTTTTTTCTATTTTGAAAGAAATTATTTTGTGGTTACTATTACTTTCTATCCCACTTTACCCAAATTGTAGAACCAGGTAAAATGTCAAGATTACTTAGGAAACAAGTGATTCAAAATAGTCTTTTAATGTAATGATAGGGCTACCAGATTTGGGCTGCAAAAAATCCAGAAGGCCACCTGAGGACAAGAAAAAGATTCAGAAAACTCTCTGCTTCCATCTAGTAGTTGTCCAGATTTTTGCATTTTAGTTCTGATAGCATGAATGGATTATATATTTTTTTTAAATCTCAAACTCTGAACAGACTGTTAGATAATGTTGGAATTACAGAACAAATTAACTGGATGATTGGCAGTAACTCAGATGAATGTTATAAGCATATAGTATAATCACGACCATATTGAATTCAAAATTAAATAGGTCAACAAGAGCGCTTCACCTTTTCAAATAGCAATAAAACTCCAGTTTGTCACTTGGTATTCAAGAGACCTGAAGTTAATCTTTTTTTATTTACATCTTCAGAACATCTATTGGTCACCTTTAGGCTTTTTCACACAACATGTAATGTGTCAAGATGCCCTAGTTACCAATTTGAAAAGATTCATAATTATACGAAGACTGTGGGTGTGTGTTGGTGCCAGCCTCCAAAAGAAGGTCTTCTCAGTGATCTTTCTAACAAACCAGCCAGCCAAGAAACCGTTCATGTGAAAAGGCTGATGAGAAGAAATGGGATGCTATTTCTCAAGTACTGTGAAAGGGACTGTTTACTCCTAAAGGCTTGCAAGTTTCTTTGAAACAATAAACACAAAAAGATATGCAACTACAGCTAATTTATTCAATACTTAAAATTTTGCTTTTCATTCGTAGCTTCCACAAAATGTGTCTACAAAAACTGGTCCCTTATATGCAGTATACAGTATGACATTTATTACCCACTGAACAAACTTTTCACCCACTCTCCTATAAAAAGCAAAATACATCAGTAGTTGATAGCAACAACAGAAAAGACAGTACTCAGTTAAACAGACCACTTAAGTGCAAGTGGCATTCAGATCTTCTGATTCCAAGCACACTCTAACTTTTCAGTAGGAACAAGAGCCTAAACTGAATTGTAGTTTCTCTCGCTTATCAAAGATAAATAGGGTTGTTTTTAGAAACTGTTGATTTGCATTTTTCCCATATGTTTCTGCTGAGTTAGCAAACTCTTCTGTGCAAAAAACAAAACAAAAACAATGAAACACAACACATGTTCTTGCTATACAGGTGAGGATTCAATTAAATAATCATCTACTCTGGGATTAGATAGAATAATCTGTTTTGTTTCTTACAAGACGGGCATCTTTAAGGAAATTATTTTCATGACCCATGGGGCATTTTTATGTTGCTCACTTTGTATATTAATGTAATCTTCCCCCCTTATTTCTTTAGTATATTTGTTAATTTCTAAATACATCTAACCTATATCTTATGCCATCCAGAATGTACAGGGTAGGTCAAATGAATAGTCAGAATTTTTCTAACACGTGTTTACTTTTCCTAATTTGAAAATGTAGAAATGCTGTTGCTGCTTTTAAACTCAATAGTGTCTAGAATGCCAGCTGCCTTGGCCTCTCTTCAGCTTTGCAGTCCCACAAAGAACTGCAGGGCAAGAAAGAGACATACCTAGTTCCCTCTACTGGCCAAAAAAGGAATAGCAGGCCTTTGGAAGAAGAGAAGCAGGGAAGAATGGGAGCAGAGAGCAGCATGAGAACAAAAAAAAAGGGGGGAGTTGATGAGTCAAATCTGTCATTACAGCCTCAGCTTTTTTTGTTTAATCACTGCAAAAAGGATCACAAAGATACTTTTTAAGGACTAATACGTAACTATGATAAGTGACCCACTGCTTGCTGAAAGATTGTAGATCAACAGAGCAGGAAATCCTTTGCATGCAAATCATTTCAGGTTCGATCACTGCTACTTCAAATAGGAGCTGTCCTTGCATTCTCAGATACAACTCGAGAGCAGAGTTATCAGTCAGTGCAGGCCATCTTTTTTTCTGCCCCTCAGGGTAGTCTGTTGCGTGAGACTGAAACAAGCAGTGGTTGGGGCCAGAGCCAAAATTGGATGTAGACACTCATTTTCTCTGATATCCTTTTTTTTTTTTTTCCCCTTTCCGAAACTATGTTCTCTCCATTCCAAGCTGCAGGCTGCAGAAAAGGTCACCACTCTTAGCAGAGGTCTGAACCAATTTTCTGCATTTGGCTTTGAGATTAGTTTAGAGGCTTTATGAACATTTGTCTTATGGCCTCAGGTTAGCTAAGAGTAATTTAGTGAGTCGATCTAGTTGCTGGGCTTAGTAAATAATACCTTTGTATGCTAAGCAGAGGCAGAATGGGTATTCAACAATATGATACAAAAGATAATTTACACTATTTTTAGGACCCCAGGCAGGTAGCACCTGTAGGGATCCTCAGGCAAGAGACACCACCAGGGGACAGTCCTACATCTGTAAGCTGTAAAGGACATAAACTGAACATTCATTCACATTTCTTCCAACTTTCTTCACTTCTATGGAAAAGGAAAGCGTTAGTATTATTGAAACAACATGCAACCTTAATAGTTGCCACTCTCTGGAACTAACCATGGCCACAACTACCCCACAGATCATTCTATATCATAATAATCTTATGTGTCTTTTATTAAGCGGGCCTTTCAAGAGCTGGACATATGACTGGAACCACCAAATGTAGGTCATTAGTATGCAAACAAGTATTCAAATATGGACATCCCCTCAAGTCAAGACTGATTCCTAGTGACTGAATCCACACAGGTTTTTTGACAGAATTATGGAAGTAGTTTGCCAATAATCTCTTTCAGGATTTCCCCCAGCTCTTAATCCAGCCTACAACCTGTTCCTTTGAAGAGTGGAATATAATAAAAATACACTTAGAGAATAAATCTATTCCTTAATTTTGTCTCATTTTTCAGTAACACAGCACAGTGTTAAAATAGATTGCTATTTTGTTTTTTTGCTTTTTTAAGGGGAATTACTTGAATATATGCCAGGTATTAGTAAAACACTTCCCAGCTAATTCTTTTAAGTGCCACACTTAGCCACATAAATCAGATGACAGAACACATGAGCATGACAGCTGGTGTTACAGCAGTATCTTTCAAGTGATTTTTACAACAGCAAAAATTCCCTGCTGAAAAGAACAGAGTTTAGTTATCAGATTACCAAGAACATCAATAACAGCTCTTCAATTGCAAGTTTTTTTTTTGTAAAAACAACAACCAGGTGCTTCCTAAGGAATGGGAACTAATGCACTTATCAAACACTTTTATATTACTGGAACCAAGAAAGCATTCTAAAATTCTGTTTGGTAGCATAGCTATGCACAACTGAATGCAATACCAGCTAAAGTAAAAAACAAACAAACAATACATTCTTTCAAGGAATATACTATAGTTTTAATTTAAAAGAAAAACTTTCTTCCCTAGCGCTTTTCTATCTGGCAAGGAGAGTATGGTGGGAATGAAAGGAATGTTAAGGGTCAACAGCAAAGGCTACAAGCCTAAATATACTTCTTGCTTTATAACAAGTCCCCCGAAATCAGCAAAACCGTACTGCTACGCATGCACGGCTGGGAATAGACAATCTGTTATTCGGCCCTTATTTTCTGTTACGATCGTCAATTATCTGGCGGCACGCTAGGACAGACTAGTTCACAAGCAGGAATCGCTTAAGGCAGGACCTGAGGGAGGAAAGGGAACGAGAGCACCATCCCCCCGCCACGAAAATCTCAAATCTATCAGGGTCACAGGTCTGTACCAGCGGACCGCGAAGGACGCGACTTCAACGGGGTGGAAAGAAAAGCGAGCACGCCGCCTCACCTGCCAGGCTTCCGGGTCTCTGCAAAGTGGCCGTGGCATAGAGTTCCTGGGAGTGTTTGCTGTACTGCTCGGAAGGGTGGACCAGCCTCTTGGTGGGCGAGAGGGTCGCGTAGGTGCCGATCGTGGAGCTCAGCTGATGGATGGGGGAGGAGATGTTGGACTGGATGGTGGGCGGGGAGGTGACCCGGATCGGGGAAGGCGAGAGCCCCGCCGAGGAGACGACGATGTTGATGGGCGAGCTGGTGCTGTAGGACTTGGCCAGGCGGCTGGGCGACTGCTTGGGAGAGGAGACCCGCTGTGTGGTGCCGTACCCGCCGGCGACGGCGGCGGCGCTCTCGGAGGCGGAGCCCGCCCGCTGGAGCTTGGTAGGCGAGCCCACCTGCTGCATGGACAGGGGCGAGCTCACTCTCTGCGCCGGCAGCGTGGAGCTGGAGTAGTAGAGGGCCGGTGAATGCGGCGGCGGCGGCTGCTGCGAGGAGGAGGAGGAGGAGGAGGAGTCCGGCAAGTGGAAGGCGCTCCCATGGCTGGGCGCGAAGGTCTCCCTGGGCAGCGGCTGCGACGGGGGTGGCGGCGGCTCCGAGGCGGCGAGGTGGGCAGTCCGGCCGGTGGCGCCCTGCGGAGGAGGGGGATGGGCGGGGAGACGAGCAAGTAAACAGGCAGACGAGAGGCGGTCAAAGGAGGCAGCGAAGGGAGGCCGTCTGGCCAGCCCGCTCCCGGCCCTCCCCCCCGCCTCCCCCTCCGGAGAACCGCGGAAGGAATTAAACGCACCCCACAGCAGATTTTCGAGTCTTTACCGTGGCTTGAGAACACTGAATACCGCGCAAATGATCTTGCTGTCGGGGCGAGACCAAAACTCGGCTCGTTGCTCACTGCTTAAGCACGTCTCGGGCATCTTGCATATATTCTGGTTTTATGTTAAATAAAACTCGGTGAAAACCCCAGCTTGGCCATGTTTACTCGAAGGCCTGTTTCTACTACACGCGCTCGAATTTGTAGCTGATGATAAATACAACTACGTCCTTCGCCTCCTCGTAGCCGAAATAAGGTCGTCTAATGTTTAAGGGCTTGGCGTTCAAGCCGTTTTTTCTACGCCGAAGCACTTGGAGAAATGGACAAGGAAACGACTTTTACGGCAAGGTTTATGCTCCGAATAATCATATTTGGGTAAAGCACCATTTTCATAAGTGGTACAAAGCGCACTGTGCACTTTAAAGTAATTTTCTCTCTCAAGAGGATCTTGGGAACTGAAGTTTACTGAAACCAAAGAATAAATCTCACTTATGAGCGTATTTTGGGCAGGGCCTTAGCTGATACACAGACATTAAAATATTATTCTAAGGACTACCGCATGTTAAGCAGCAGCTACTGTTTATGTACTACCCACAGAAAGAATTGCTAGTAATCCTTCAGTTCTGTTGTATGCATATAACGTTCACATTTACATAATACAAGTTTTTCATGCGTGTGTTAAGAAATACAGTGTCTGAAATTACCTAGCCTGGGGTTTGTCACTAGCTGCAATAGAAATATTTATTGTCCTCGTTTACAGGCTTATAATAAACTCAATTTTGTAAAACAATATAAGGCAGTGTAAGAAATAAAAAGCAGAAAACAATGTTTATTTGTACTCTCAAATAACTGAAGCTTCTTTGATTTACAAATCTAAAAGAAAAAGAAAAGCAAATGTCCCTTTTGAAAGCAGTCCATCAGTGTGTAGTAGCATGTTCCCAGAATGTAACACAAGCAATTAGGATGCTTGGCACCTTGTTCTACTTAGAATTATTGAATAGGGTTCCAGTTCTAGACTACAGTTTGGGAAATCATTGCATCATTAATTAGCCTCAGTGTTTCTTGTGATACACCTAGGGAGAACCTCTATGGAACACTCTTTCCTGGGAACAGTTGCTAAAGTGCATACCCCCTTACCTAACAGAAACAAGTTGGAGGATCTGTTTTCTGATCTCTTAAGAACTCCTCCCTTTGCCTTGAAAGAGCTGGCCAACTGACTGGTCAAACCTTATTTTATCTAGTTGTTTAAATGCCATTTGGAAAAAATTCTCCAAATTTTTTCCAACCAGTTCTGAGTTTAATAAATTTGCTTTTGAAATTTCATTTGGAAAAGAAGATTTCAGTGAAAGTCTTATGAGTGGAGTACAGTGACTTTGCACAATTGAGGGGTATGTGTGAATGTCATATCTTTCTAGGCATAATCTTTTATCTACCCTTTCTCTCTATGCTTTGATTAATTCCCAAGTAGCTTGTTCAGATAGGAAAATGTTGGTAGCAAGGGAGGCTTAAAAGTGATTGAAAGATGCATAACAGAAAACAACAAAACCAGCTGTGGTGGCCCTTCTTTGCCACTTTAATCAGTTCAAAAACATCACCAGGAGAATTTTTAAAAAAAATCTCATGGACCCCAAGGATAAGATATTTGTTGTTGCTGCTGCTAATTTTAAACTGCTGTTCACTGTCCAGAGTTGTATGTCAAGTGGGCAGCCTTACAAATAAATAGATAGACAAATATTTTCTGGGAAGAAAACTTACGAGGAATTTCAAGAAAGTATCTATTCCTTCTTACATGGACAGATACAGGGTGAAATTGAATGGAGTCATATTAAGAGGTAAAGGGGAATAGGCTAAGTGATTTTCTTTCTTTTCAAAGGAGGGTGGGGATTATGAAATGTATCCACAGAAATATACTGATACTGTACACATCTGAATAAATGTCAACGCACAATCAGTTCATGTCATATAGTATGTAGATAACTGCTTGCTTATGGTTGATAATGTTAGCGAGGGTTAAAACATTTGTCCTCCAGCTGGTGCCCTCCAGATGTGTTGGCAGTACCATTCTCAGCCAGTAGTTATTGGCTGGGAATTTGGGGAATGGAAATCATAATACAACTGGAAGAAGAACCAGATTTGGAAAGTGAGTTAAACAAATTCATGTAGGATAAGTGTACTAAAGGGCATTTATGCTGGGAATTTGGGGAATGGAAATCATAATACAACTGGAAGAAGAACCAGATTTGGAAAGTGAGTTAAACAAATTCATGTAGGATAAGTGTACTAAAGGGCTGGTCATGCTGGTATTAGCTGAGCCTTAAGTTTAGAAAAGTACATGTTTGAATACCAGTTGGA